AGATTTTTCTCAGCAAATGTTATACAAATTGATATTTGATAATGAAAAGGCAATTTTATTGGGACATTGTTATAATAATATGTATTTAATAAAAGAAATTACGAATGAAATGATAAAATGCAAAAATTACTTTTTAATATATTTATTTTAGACACTACGTTTATTGAATATAGTTGTATTTGTTACAGATTAATGTTGTGTTACTACGATACTTTTGTGCATTGTGATGCGAATGCAATCGGAAAAGTTCTGAGGAAGTGAAGGAAGAAAAATGAGAGCAAGAGGAGTCGAGCAACTTTGTGGTAAGTATTATTGCTTACTTGCATAAAATTTGTCATTTCTTTCCATTTCTTTGAATTGTTTAATAATTTAGAAATAATTAAAGAAAGAGACTTAATTTGAAACTTTGTATGAATTAATCTTTGTTGAAAATTTTAAACAATGTGTAATTATTTTAATAAGAAGATTAATTAAAAAATTCTATGTATGTAAGAATTACTTTTTGCTCACTGATTATTTCAAATGCTGATTTAATTTGGATTTTTATTTTAGAATCATCGTACTAGCTGATAACTCCACTGTTGCACAGCGATTGGTGAGTCACAACTAAAAATATAAAGCATCCATAGAAAAATTCCAAATTTAGAAATATTTTTATTGTAATTATAAAATAGGTTAAAACAAAACAACCTAAATAGTTAGGACTGCTTATACATCTTTTTGTAATAAATATTTAAAAGATGTATTTAACATAACCAAAATTTAGAATTTTTTTAAATAATACAAAGTTTATAGGAATTAACCACAATAAATTGATTGTTTTCTTAGATAGAATTTTGTATCTGGAAATCGAATGAATATCAGTTATATTATATATAATCACGTTAAAATCCAAAGCTCTACGTTTAGAATAAAAATTGCATCTTAAAAGTAAAAGAATTATAGTATCCACTTAAGTTGTTCAAAACGTGTCGCACTGTAATCTTACACTGTACGATCTCCAATCCTCTTTTAAAGACACTCACATACATTTTCATAAGAATGATTGTCCAATAATATTCCGTGCAATTTTCTACGTAGCTACAAAGGCAGTAGTAGTGATGGTTCGGAAAAATTAGAGAGAGGGATGAGGGAGATGGGTAGATGAGTGAAAAGGAGAAAAGCGGAGAAAAATATAAGAGAACGTCAGTAACGACTAACGCAAGCTTCGCGAAGAAGGGAAGGACGGCATCTTTAGTAATTACCCGCCTCCGGAGGACGCATTACTCTTTGTTGGCCGACGTACCTCGGATCTTATCGTCGTTGAGAGAGAAAGGATGAGGAGTAGTGAAGTAAAAGGTAGAACTGCAGTACTGGGAATCACTTCTGTGGAATAAGACGAGGAATGGGAAGTCGGTTGCAATCCTTACTCTACGAAATTGCGTTGGGCGACATTTTCATCTTTGCTTTTGTCTAGTCTATGGACACGCATTTTACTTTATAATAGCATAATAATTTTTATATCATCAAAATGCACCGCTATGTAAATAATAAATAAACGTGTCTTTCCTACAAATATAAAAATATTGAAACGAGTATTAAATAAATTACTTCACTGCTCATCAATGAAAAAAGTCGATGAAAGAACTTCTCTAAATTTAATCGGTAAATTTAATCTCGTAAATTATATACGGGAACCTTATTTTTATTCCACGGCGTATCGATAAAATCTACAATATAGCAACTGCTTTTAAACAAAGCAGCCTTGATATTACATGAAAATAGAGCAACAAGTAGCGTGCTCGGAAAGCCGGAATTGATCCTTAAGCTCTAAGTACACCCTGAATGTGTCCGTACAGAATCTGCGCGGAACTATATAAGACGATAGCCATTATCCGATTGCTCTTATACCGCTACGCCGAGAAATGCATTCAAAATTACCTTATTCAGCAGCTATTCAAGTTTTCAGCGCTCTTCGCGTAACGTCCGATAATGAGATCACGGCAGGATGATTGATCGTATTATATATGCGGCGTCATTGATTTTCAATAGTGAACGCGACAGTCTTGTTAATCTTGCAAGGTTGAATCGAAGGCATTCTATGTAGATGACAACGTCAAATAAAAGCGAGAGATTGATAACTTTCGCGTCGATGGAATTAATTTATTCATAAGTCGATGCACACATTCGTTATATTGTTTCATTCAGATCTATAAAGCTAACAGTGCAAATTGTTGAAACATATAAATTTCAATAAGTTTAGTTTTGTTGCGTTGTATGGAAATTTGATTGCTTGTATCAAAGCATGCGCGAATCGAGTTTATAAAAAAATATTGTTCGTGTCTGTTCTAAAGTTCCAATTAACCCAATTGTTTGACATTTCAATCCTAAATTTACTGACATAACTTGGACGTGTAAAAATAACTATTGCTAAAAAAATTCCATTTTTCCCTCACGACGTACGAAAAATACCACAAAATGAAGATACTAAAAATATAATCACAACGTATATTTTTGATTTCTGACACAAAAAAAGATACAGATTTAATATTAATATATTATAATATGTCTAAATGTAATTTACTGTATAAAATTTCTGTATAGAAAAATGTCACTTTTTTCAAGGAGAAAAGATGTAATTTTAAGAATTATATCACGCCTTTAATAAACAGCATGCCCTTGTGAAATAAAAGAAAAATTATGAGAAACTTGTGACTGTTGACGCAACAAGTAGTATAAGTTAGTATTGGGACGGGAACCGCAAATCTTCACACGGTGTACACTTCCAACGCACACACACCTCGCATCACACCGTGACGTCTCCGGATGAAAGTTCACGGAGGTTGAGCATTTTTATCGCCGACATATTCTGTCGCCGGTGGCGTTTCTCTACATTCGTACAAAAGCGCATGTGTCGTATTACAATCGTATTGTTCGCAAATAGAAATCTGCTTGTAGATTCTTTCCTTGGTACATGTAAGCCATCATTAAACAATAAGATTTCGTAACAATCATGAATAAAATTTTTTTATCTTAAAATAAAATCGAGAAATCAAAATAATTAATAATTAATAAATAATGATATTAAATAAATAAAATTATTTCTTATTAATTTATGAAAATTTGCTGAGCATTATAATTTTCTGTTATTTCAATTTTAAAAAATTCAATACATCGACATTCATACAAGTTCAGTTATCATTCGGTTTAGCATAATTATTATTATGTAATTAAAGGGAAAATGTGAGACTTTTCCTAAATCAGAAACATACTGCATATTCATAAAATTACAGGAGCACTAGGTATTATTAGATAATGTAGTCAAATTAAATATTGATTCCATACGTTTCAATATTAAACCATAAAATTTAATCAATTACGTAATATAATAGATATTTACATACCGTTTTGGCTCCAGTGCATATAAACTATTTTACTATTAGTGAAATATTTTGAACAATTTGTGTGAATAGTGCCCGATTATTGAAACATAAAACATAGACTAGCACTTAATGTTAGTGGATACATTCTTTTGTGCAGATTTCAAATAAATTTCAGTGCGAATTAGTTATTTTTTTGCATGTTATACGTATATCGACAAAACGTCAAATGTTAATAAAACTAAAACGTTTGTAACACATAACACAATGCATCGAGGTATAGTAATCCAACAAACGGCAATTAAGTAACAAAGGTATCAATATGTGGGATACTGTTTTTCAAATAAAAGGGTTTTTCGAATAAAGATAGTTTTATTAACGTGTGATATTGTAAAATTTTCTATTAAAATTATTGAAATTGAAAAAGTAGCGTTGAATGTCAAAAACGCAAGAAGATATAAAGAAATATGATTGTATTTTTATTTATATTGTAATTGCATTAAATCATAAATATCATATTACTTTATGTTCTGGATATGACTAGTACTTCTTTTCAATGTAGATTAACTTTTATCTCGGTTAATTGAACTTACTCCTCATTTTTTCCTCCAGTTCTAAAAATTAGAAAAAATTGAAGAATAAGTTGAACTGAGATTAATCTGCATTGCCAAAAAAGAGCATGAGTTGCAAATATATAAAATTGCATTACTTAATTTACAAGACGTTACAGATAAAACTAATTTTGATATGCAATAAAATGAGCTAATACAAAATTGCACAGGGCGAATCAGATCACCGTTTAAATTTTACGAAGAGATGTAACAGATTAGCGAAAAAAAATATCAACAGAGTTAAATAAAATGAAATGATGGAACTTTTAATTTCATATCCGATCCGCTCGTTCTGTTGCTCGACGGAATAAACAGATATCATCATTATCACCGTTGACCATCGCCTTTTATTTAGAAAGTAAATTGACTCTGCACGAGACCGTATAGCTGAATATTGTTATTCTATGAAAAGGGTATTGCTTATATACACATGATCTGGAAACATTTTATCGAGCATTGAACAAAAACAAGAATAGAGAGTTTCGCGTTCAGAGCGTGTCGCAATATAAATTATATTATGAAGAGACACGTGCGAGACGAGAAAGGGTTGTGCATCGCGACGCACTCGCTTGTGTATTCCATGTGTCCCTACTTGCGTCGGAAAATTTCGTTTAGCTTACAGACAGCTTTATATCCGGCCTTGATATGACAGACGCTACTTTAACACAAACGAGATTGCTTGTTTAAACCGCACGCGGCGACCGTCGCCTGCATTTCCGTTCATACTTTCATCCAGCAAATGGATCCTGCGGCATTGTTTCCACGATGATACGAGACGCGACGCGCCGTAACTAAATGGATCGCAACGAATCTGAAATCCAAAAGCGTTTGTTTGCATCACCGTTTGAAAGCATCGGAGAATGCAACAGCCGTGTTTATGCGATTGCGCGTCATAGTAACGTGATAAAGTAAATGGCGGGTATTCCAGACATCTATATTCGGACATTTAGATAAAACTTTATTTGTTTATGTTATTATTAATTAAATGCTCTTTTTATAATATTATAATTTAATTATAATATTTAAATACAATTAAGTTTATTGCACACGTATTGCAGCAATGTTGTAAGTATCTGTGCCGTACAGGTTATAATATTATAATAAGAAAAGCATTTGACATTAATAATAAATTTTATGTAAGTGTCCGAATATAAGTACATGTCCGGTCACTGGACGTTTATCTTTCAGGGAATATAAAAACCTAATCAAAAGTATCTTCCATTCAGGGTTCGAATATTTTAAAGCCTATTTTGCAATATTCAAGTAGCAACATAAAAAATAAATTATATTAAATATTTATTCAATATAATCATTTAATATAAACGTACTTGTAACTGTAAACTTTATTCGGATCATTCTTTTATTTTCTTTTTCTTGAAGATAGATTTTATCAAGATCATATCGTTTTTGCTTCAAAAATGACATAAAAAAATTAAATTTTTCAGAAAAAAAAATTTTAACTTAACAGAAAATTATTGACTAATTATAAATAATTGACCAATATTTATAAAAATAATATATTTTCAACATGATCAAAATTTTTATCATTTTCGTTTTACAATTAAAATCATCCTTCTGAGTTATGGACTTTGATGATTATTTTTAAAAGCCACTCTTTTATCTAACCTATAATGATTTTTTTATGAAGTTAAATTAATTGACTTTTGATAATTGGTAGGGTAATGTTTACTTATTCATTTATTTACTTAACTTACTTATAATAATTCAAAAATCATGATTTTTCAGTTACTTTTTTGTATTACTTTTGAAGTAAGAAAGCGATATAGTTATCGAAAGATTGCAAGATAAAAGTTTTCATGAATGTTTATATCGCTATATTTGTATGATTATCTTTGAAACAAATGAAATATATAATTGCATACAGGATTGTATATCATAACACAGAAACGATATTTTTACAAAATCCGGTTACTCAATGTCACACATATATAAATATTAATGGAAAGACTATTCTCCGTATAAATATTTTGCATGTCATATAATGTTCACCGATACGACTAGAATGTTAATATGCCGCAGGTGAAAAGCATATTTACAATTCTCGTTTTGCGTGTGAAAATAATTTATAGTCAATGCATTACAAATAAATCTGCGAAAACGATTCGTGTTCACGAAAACGTAAACAATTTCATTTGTTGCGAGTTGTCTCATCACTTGCTTTATACATATGTATTTATGTGCATTAATTAATAAAATATTATCTATATATTTTGCGGTATACGTAAAAAACCGTGACCATAACTTCCATTTGCGTAGAAAACGCAATCACATTCTACTACAAAATAATGGCGCCTCATTTTATCAAACCAATATTTTATTATCTTTCTAAAGGTACTCATCCATATTATATAAGTAGTTGTCATTAAATTCAACCGCAATTGTTACACAGTCACAAAATACAATATAATTGTTCTTATTAATCACCTAATTCTAATTAAAAGATCACCTTTAAATATAATGAATAAGCTCTGAGAAAACGACGTGACTTTGCCTCTTCCTACGTTCGCTGTCACGTGAA